ATATATAGTTTGTTGTAATAAAAAAACAAAAAAACAACAACAAAAGAATACTTTCTGCCAACAAGAGAAGTAAAAAGTGCCACATTACACACAGGCATACTTTAATGGGACCTTATGTCCAAACAAAGTAGCAAATACTTTTGAAGAGTGAGGAAAAGGTTATAAGACATTCCTGAGTATTTCTAAGTGAAAATCTGAAAAGTGTGGCATGCTTTTGTTTCTTAAAATCAATAGTTGGTAGAATCACATTTTCCTGCAATTACAATTTCAAATCTTTTGAAATGGATTCCTATCAGCTTTCTACATCGAGAGCCTTGGTTTCGTTAACCGAATATTAAAATTTTTTGACTGTTGTTTTTTTTTTGTTTGTTTTTCTTTTAACAATGACTGAATAGTTTGAAGACCATCCGTCATTTTACAATTCACACTCCTGACAACTTGCTGCAGAAGCGCAGTTGTTCAGAGCATCATGTCAGACCTGGATGCTACAGTGGATCTCATGATCTGGGAACTAACACCGCATCGAAGGGTTATGGAGGTTATGGAGCGAGTCTGTGACCAATGCAGCTGAACCACTTTAAATTTAAATACACGAATACTTGCGCAAGCACTGTATGACCTGAAGATTTTACAGCTACTTTGTTCAACTACGGAGTGAGTAAGGCAAAGAGAGCAGTGTCAATATCTAAAACCAGATAAGGATCACATCCTGGAAGCTGTTTTATAATCAGAATAGGTTTATATTTAGAGCAAGAAGTAAACTCTCGGTATAGCCAGGCTGCTAGGAGTCAAAGTAATAGCACTGTTTCCTCTTATGGCATTTAACCATGAGCACAGCAGGGAAATATTCAGGGACCTTCCTGAAGTTAGAATGTCAGTCCTCTCTTTTCAATCTTGCAAAGGCAGCAAACAAGCATTTGTTTCAAACTCTTATAATTTCTACAGATGCATTTTGTTTTTTTTTTTTTTACAAACTTTGGTTAATTATGATTTCTCTTTATGAACAAATATAAGACCTAAGAACAACATTTAAATGATTTCTTGTCTTTCCGTTTTGAGTATTTATTTGTTTATTTTAGAAGCAGAGTTCACATTTCAAGCTAGCATTACCATGTTTTGTTAGCGAGGCTAGCGTTTTGAAAACTGCAGTCTCCAAACTCTCGTAAATGTTGAGTCCCTTCACTTAAATCTGAAATCTCTGAAATGTGAACACCTGAACTGATGGTAAAATAGTTCAGTTTAAAGGGTCTTCACTCGGTAACAGCCTGTACGCCGAAGAGTGTTGCTGTGAGTGCGACACAGAGTGTTGCGGCCTAAACATACCCGTGTGGTATGTTTAGTGATCTGGGTTTTTGGGTCTCCCTTCTTACAGTTCTGATTTATGTGAATGTTCAATCAGAAAATGTTTGCAGTGTATTTAGAAGTTTTAACCAGACTTCGCTTCCACTGAGTTTTGTCAAAATTGTTCGGACTTTCAGAAATGTCCTGATTACCTCATTATAGTGTGGCCGACTTGTTGCAGCCACCATATGGAGAAGATCTTTTTAGTATTCACTTTTATGTTCTCAGTTTCCCTCATCTCACTTTTTCCTTTTTTTTCTTTTTTCTTTTTTTTTTCTTTTTTTTTTTTACCGTTTAAATCAACACCACGATTCAACTCTCCTGTGGTTGTGGGAATTGTTGCTGAGTTACGGCAGCTGGATCCCTGAAGCCGTTGGCTGAAGTTATAAAGCTACACCTGTGGCCTCACTACGAAGGATTTATCTGAGAGACACCAGTCGGCCACAGCGATACATCCATCTCAGTTTTCAGTTTCTGTGAGGAATTGGCTCGCCGCAGCCCTGGAGAAAGTGCAGCCTCACTGCCAAATCCAACAAAGTAATTTCCTGCTGTTTCCTGTGGGGAGGAAAATGACTCTGGCTAATTTTAGAATGGAGGGGTGGTGGAGGTGAGGGGAGAGAGGGTGCTTTCTGCAAGTGGGGAAAGTATTATTGTCCCGAAATCCCCTCCAAGATTGAAACAAAATCAGTAGAAGTGTTTCTCCAGAGGAGTCAGAGACATTTAATCCTGTTGTTTATGAACGAATCATTTATTTTTTTTCTGTCTTTAGAATCTTACCGGCAGTCGTCCTCCGCCCAGGTACACCTACGACCCCGCCATCTTCGCCTTCCGCTCCCTGAGCACAGCACCCCCCTGTAGATCCTTGACTCCGTCCGAGGACCCTCCTTGCTCCTAAGCAGACGTCGTCACAACGTCCACCAGACTCCGACCCGGACCGCTTCACCATCTTCTTCTTCTTCTTCTTTTTTTTTTTCTAAAGTCTGTGGCACGTGAAGGACCGAGCTTCGGAAAGGTGTTCATCTAAAGGTGGAACTGTTGCACTCTCAGGTAATCCCTCCCTGCCCCTTGGGATCTCTGCCGGAGCCAGGACACGACTCGGCAGAAATCACTTTGTATAGTTGTAATTCAGGATCATTCGTTACACAAACACGGACCAAGAAGGGGGTTAACCTTGCTGAAGACTGTTTGGATCACACACAGAAGGGAATGATGCATGTTAGACAATCAAGTGGTTCCAGGGTTTCTTCCTATCTAAACAACTAAAAAAAAAAAAAAAAAAAAAGACGACTCTATCCTCTTCCTGTTAAACTGAGATGGCAGTCGCATTTATCTGTCTGACACTACTTCTCTGGATGTGTTGCTGCAAACACCGTACTGTAAGGTCGCGCTATAACAAACATGTATGACCGTAGTTGAATAGTCGACTCTCGATGACGACGACTCGTCGGGAGTTCCTCGTATTCTCTTTTCTTGCATGTATCCCAGACCTCTGCAGAAACCGAGATCTGGTGGAAACATTTATGACTGTAGGGTTGCTGCACATTTGGCTAATCTGTTGTTCTGGATAGCCTACTCGTAGTGTGCCATTTCAGTTTAATTTTTTATTTCCAGTAATGTACCTCGGTTACATTCTAGGTAGAAGAGGACCACTGGTCTATCTAAAGATTACTTAATGCCTTGAAATGACATTCCTGCTATATTAAGGTCTGAGGTACTTCCCACGCCCTGAAACGAGCTCAAACGCGTCACCGCTGTAACTAAGACTTCGCCGAAATGAATGTAACATTGTGACATGTTTTCGTCCATTGTTGCACTAAAACACAATCCAATAAATGCTCTGTGGCCTCTTCTTTGTGAGGTGATGTCATTTTATTTCATAATGTGCTTAAAGCAGTGCAACACCTTGCAAAATTATTCACACGGTTTAGTCTTCTGTTTAGCAGAAGAGACGGATGGAAGAAGCGCAGAGGTGTTTTGCAGAAAATGAACACGGGGACATCACCCTGAACATACCAGCCCTGTTATGAAACACGGTGGTGGCTGCATCATGCCATGAGTACGCTGTCTTCAGCAGAGCTGGTTAGAGTCTGTGGTAGGGCTTTGCAGGCTCTTAATAGTTTTGGCTAAAATGAAAAATGTAATGTTTTGAAATGTAAATATTACAAAAAAATGCAAATTTAAGCACATTTTCGCTTGTTTTTGTGGAAAGATGTCATCGAATTTTAACGAGAGTAACCCTAAAATTACCAGTAATATATTTTTTAAGATGTTTTCTGACTTTTTCCACAAATAGGAAAAAAATGTGTACATCATCTTTGTGCTGAAGTTGTTTTTCTCTACTTTATAGACAAAGAATTACTTACTGGTGGTCATATAAAAATACATTTCCTGTAGAAGATATTTATTGAAAATTTTAAATTTGTTTTTTTTTCTTTTTTTGTCAAAAGATAATTTATGGTTCTGAAGTTATCTTTAGCTGGACTGATGGTAAAAAAAAAACAAAACAAAAAAAAAAAAAAAACGGCTCTTTGGATTGTAAAGGCTGTAGACTCCTGGTTTTTAGGAACATTTCTAGAGCTTCATACAGGAAGAAAACCAGTTAGAAGCTGCAAAGACTTGAGATTGGAGCTTCACTTTCTAACCCTAAACATACAGCCAGAGCTAGAATGGAAAAAGTTTAGATCAAAGCATATTTATGTGATAGAATCTGTGGCATGGCTTAAAAACTCCTGTTAAGACGCTTTCCACTCGGTCTGACTGAGCTTCAGCTATTTTGTAAAGAATGTGCAAAAGCTTTAATCTCCACATGTGGAAAATCTAAGACGTGCAGCTGCAATTGAGGAGTAGTCCATCCGGCCTCTACACCTGCTTGCAGGGTCGCTGGACAGGTCGCACAGGTTAAACGATCATGCACACACTCGTACCGAAGGGCAATTTAAAGAACCCAATTAACCTTAGTCATGTTGTTGGGAGTCTGGAGGAAAGCCGGAGTACCCAGAGATGCAAACGCCTTGAAGAATAGCTCCAGGCTGCGATTCGAACCCATAACTGTTCAACTGGTTCACCTTGTCGTCCCTTCATGCCTTGATGTAGGTATGTAAGAAAGGATGAGGGGATGGAATGATAGATGGAGGGGAAAACTGATTAGTTGGATGAGACGAAAGGAGAGAATGGACTGATTAAAGAATATATAAATGTTTAGGAAAAAAACTGATAAAATAGATGGATAAATACCAAACAAGCTGATGATTAGTTAGCTGAGAAACTAGATTAACATATGGAGGAATAGATTGAATGAGTAGAGGGATAAACAAAGAGATCCATTAAACCTTTAGAGGATAGGAAAAGAGAAAATCCAAAATTTCTCAACATTCAAAGACTATCTAGTCCTGAGAGATAATTAAATTATATTCCATACCACAGAGCAACCATGCATATGAAACAGTCTTTGATTCTCCAGAAGCCCACTTTTAATATGAAATATCCCTTTACTAACACCTGGTGGTTAAACAGAAGATTGCAACCAACTAAAATAAAATCCAAATTTATGCAAAACAAAAACAGAACCGCTCAAAAAAATGTTCTCGACTGTCTTGCACTACGGCTTATATGAGCAGATTGTTTTCGCCACCAGCTGACAGAATTAAAAACTTTTGCTCTTTGTAGTTATGCACTACTTTATTATTTTACAAAATAGAGTTTCCATTCATTATTGTTGTGTTTAAAAGACAGTTGCAGAGAGGGTGGGACGTGTGGCTGAAGTTTAAGAAAACAACACTGAGTGGGATTTCACAGAGAAAGGAATCACCGAGCTCTCACAGAGACAATCTTGTTAAAAAGAGAACTTTGAGAGGGTTGGGTTTGGACTGTATGTGTGTGTGTGTGGGTACGCTCACGGAAACACACACTCCACTTAGCTTGAGTCATTATCAGCTTACGTTTCATCTAGTACGCCATCCAAGTGTCCAGATGGTCAGAAAAGCTGCTGCTATGCTCTCCCTCTCTTCCTGATACACACATACACACACTCCCTCCCTTTTGCAGGGGAGAAGCGGTTAAAGGTTACGCCAGCGATCGACTGAAGCCGAACGGGACCGGGGCGCACACCAGGTGTCAGGTCGGTTCGTCTTGCAGGAAGAGCAGCTAAAGAATAAAAAGCCGGATGATTCGGATGCTGCTTTGTCTCCTCTGATCCAAACAAAAACTGGTAAATTCAACCGCTTCCCTTCCAGCACTGAGGCTGACGACGAGCCGCTTCCTTGCTCGTTGACGTCTGTGTCGGCCCTCCTCAGTAGCCGTACTTGTCGTTGAGGTGAGTTCGACCGTCTCCTGTCTGACCTGTGAGAAAAGAGGAGGCTGTGTATCACTTCCTCGTCCAATCAGACGTGTCTCGGTATCAAAGCTCCCGCCTGGCAGCTGTTTCAACACTCCTTTTATTCATGTTTATCTTGATGCGTGAGAAACTCTGATGTGCATTCCTCGGCGGCACAAATAAACCGTAAAGGCCAGTTTATGACATGCAGCCCACATATTTCTTCCTCACCTTCCTCAAAAGAGATTTAAAGGAAGGTTTTAGAGAAATGTTTAAGGAAACAACTTTTTCACAGAGCTGGGTGGGGTCAGCTGACCGGCCGGTTGTTTACCTGCAGGCGGCAGCCACACAGAGTAGTCAGGGTCATCCTGTGGATACTGTCCTGACAGCTGCACTGGAGGCTGTGGAGACACATGAAGGACTGGAGTCAGTTCATACTGAACGCCCAGCTAACACATTGGGAGGTGTGAGGGGCCTACCCTGCTGGGGCCCATCACTCTCTTCTTCTTCCTGGAATTGGGCCCTGCTGCTGCTGCTGGTGGCTCTGCTTCGCCCCCTGCCTTCGACTCTGTGAACAACACGAGTGACACTGCAGCCTTACGGTTGCCTCCAGCTTTACAGACAAGAAACAAATTCACACAACGATGAACTCTGAGCAGCTGGAGGTCATTGTTACAAGTTTCCCCTTTGGTGCTCGGTAATGTTCTGTCAAATTAAGGTTAAGAAAGACTGAAGGTTTGGTTTAGTCTGAGTCAGTTTCTAAGAGTTAAGCCACACCCTGGTTCCCTGGGAACCAACAAAGCAGTAGCTCCTAATGCAGGATGGAAGACCGACAGACTCACCTGGGCTCACGGTGGCTGACGGCTTCAGAGGAACCTGCGGCTCCGCTTTATCGCTCTTCTTCAGCTTTTGCTCTGAATATGATACGTAACGTAAAATGATCAGATTATAGAAGAAAAGACAGGCAGATTAAAAAAAAAGAAAAAAAGCAGAAGGGAGGAGGAAAGGAAAGACAACTTCTATACAGAGAAATAGAGAACAAAGTCTAGAAATAGAAATATTTTTCCATGTCTGTTTTACTTATAGGCATGGAAAACACCTAGATAAAATTTGCTACTGAACTCGGTTCATCACTGGTTCACCATCTTTATTTTGGGTTTTAAATTCTTCTTTTACAACATTTTTATTCTGATGTCCAAAAAGTGTCTGAAAAACCTAGAAATTACCTTTGAGGAAAATCCGAAGTAGTGAAAGAAAAAGGTCGGAGGAACCATGTAAATTTTTATAAGAAGGCTGGTAGATAATGCTGCCACCTAGTGGCATGAAAAGGTCATAACCAGTCTGAAAAGCAGGAGCAAACGGCTGTTTTTACCTTTGACCTCCTCTGAGTCTTTCAGCTGACCCAGAGGAATGCTGGATTTTTCACAGTCAGTTTTGGTTTGGGCGGCGCTGCATTCATCTCCATCATCTTTACTCCTATCTGCCGCCTCCTCCTCTTTTTCCTCTTCGTTCTCCTCCTCTTCGTTCTCCTCCTCTTCCTCGCCTGCGGGTGGAAGCTCTTTCATGTTGAAGAGCTCAGCGGGCAGGTTGGGCCTCTTGGGAGGCAGCTTCTACAGCAGAGAGGAGAGGCTGAGCGGCAGAAACCGGAGGACAAAGACGAGATTTATCTGAGGGATCCGGAACGCTCACCCCTATGGTTCCCGTCTTCAGTTTGAATTTGCTTCCTCCCTTCATGGCTCCAAACAGCGGTAAGCTCTTCTTGGGCTTCTCCGCCTCAGAGCTTCCACTATGATCGCAGCAACCTCAGCTTTAGAAACAGATCTGAATCAAACAGTTGAGCTTTTGACGGGGAAAACATCTCACCCGGGGAGCAGCGAGGGCATCTGTGCCGGTCGAGTCAGGTCCACCAGCTTACGGAGCCGCTGGGCCTCTTTGCGCAGGTCGGCCACGTGTACGTGGAGCTTCCTGCGCTCCACGCCGTCCATCGCAGCCTCGCTCCGCACTGCCGTCATGAAGGCGTCCAGCGAGTCCTCCGTGCAGGAGGACGAAGAGCCTGCAAGGAGGAAACATGGGGGGGGAAAAAAAAAAAAAAACACCACGGCTTTTCAAAGAGGAATCTAAAAACAAATGTAGAGTTGTTTTTCCTGCAGGTGGAGATGGACGCACCTGGGGTACCGCTACTTAGCTTTTTCTGAGCGTCTGCCAGCTCCTTCTCCACAGAGGACAGCTTGGCCACCTGAGCAACAGCAAATGTGAAATGTTTAATATCTTCATATTGAATTTTAAAGGAATGATAGTAAGATGGTTTTTGTCTACATTCACATTCAAAAAAACATTTATTTTCCAGCTCGTAATGGAAGAAATCTGGCAATGTTGGGCTTTTGTTACATTTTTCTTTATTTTGCAGGAAAAATTTTATTCTTCACATGATTTTATTTATTTATTTATTTATTTTTTTTTTTTTTACAGAAAGTAGAGAAAAAGCAATTTGCTGGTAAATTGTTGTTCGGAATTGGCAAGTTGAAAGTTTTACAACTCTAACCTCTACCCAATATAAAACTCGGTCAAAGTTTCATGATTTTACTAATAAATATATAACAGGAACAGAGAGCCAGAAAAATGGCACTCAAATAATTAAGTCCCGGCAGTTATTCACGACAGGGATTTTGTGTAAAGTGACACTGTGATAAAAAATAATGTGCATGTTGTGCAGCCTGATCAATGATGAAAGCTGACATAAACAATCGTCTGTAAGAAAATTAATTTTGTTGCCCTCTACATATGCATCTCATTTTTTTTATTAATCTAATTTTAATGTGCATGATGAAAACATTTAATCCAAAGTTACTTGTACACCTGTCTGTAGTTACACACCAAGTTTTTTTTCTCTCCATTATTGTTCCACATTGCGTGTAAAACCATGTGTCGTGCTTACCAAAGACTCATAGGTCTCGGTCCGCTCCTCGATCTTCCCGGCCTTCTTCATTCGCTCCTGCCTCTTCCTCTCCACTGTGCCGGTCCGATCCAGGAAAGTGTCGTCGTCGCTGTCGTAGTAGTCCTCGTCCTCCCAGTTTTTCTTCTTTCGTTTGCGCGAGACTGAAACCAAAGCTCAGCTGTAGCACCGGACTCCAGCGGATGTTTCCCTCTGGGCTGAGCTCTCACCTGCTTCCTGCCTCAGCAGCCCTCGGGCCTCCAGCATCCGGCAGGCCTCCAGGCAGCACTGGACGGCTGCCTCCTTCTTCTTCCCCGTGTGCGTCACTTCGGCAACCAGCTGTCGGCCCAAGGCGTCGTCCACTGGCAGCCTGATGGGACGGAGGTGAGTAAAGCTTAAAGGTGTTTTTAGGGAAACTCGTGACATTGGTGCGTCAGATCACTAACTTTATCCTGCAGAGCCACGTGCCGTGATTTTTGTCTTCGTATTCAAACTCCAGCTCCTCGCCTGCAGGCAGAAACCCCAGGTTAGATACTCGGATGAAACACAATGACAGAGAGCCGGCTGGGTTCTGCGGAAAGTCACCCTCTCTGTCGTAGAATCCCTGCAGAGCCTTCTTCGGGTCTTTCAGGTAAGCTGCCTCCTGGTCTTCGTGAAACTCAGTTGAGAAGGGGTTTTCCTCGTTCTCGTCTTCCTCCGGAGCTGCATCCTCTTCTGCGGGATGGATTTATAGACATAGAGGCATCAAACGAAGCGAACGGGGCGTTTGACTCAAAGAAAGCACATTCACTCACCCATTCCCCACGTGCATCCAGAGTCTTCCTTTGACGCTTCCCTCTGGCTCTTTTTGCCTTCGCCATTTTCCTCATCCTCTTCGCCGTCAGAGAGGTCTCCCATCATTCTCTTCTCTAGCTCTGCTCTCTGTTTGCGGGCTCGCTCCCTCAGCTCCGTCACCGTCAGCTCGGACTCCTCTTCCTCATCAGACTCCGGACCCTGTGGAGGAAAAGCGAAGGATCTCGAGTTGGGGACAACCTCGGATATCGTTTCTGCTGGATAATCGACTCCTGAAGGATGGTCCAGAGTTTAATTTTAATTTACTATAGAGAATTCAAACAGCTTTAAAGATGAGGACATTATGTCAGTTATCTGTCTGGGCAGGTTTCAGGTTTTTTAGTAACTGTAAATTAAATCATAATAGGAAAACTAAGTACACCCCCTACAGGTTTAATTGGATTCAAGAGGGGACAGTGGCAGTGAGGTGCTGTATATCTTAAATGGACAATAATCCCAAACACAGATCAACTAATAGTTACTGTTGTTATTGAACCCATGGGCTGCACTTAGTTATTCTTTATTTCAGCATCATAAAACGGCTGAATGAAGACTTTCTGGTATCGCGTTGCACATAAATTACATGATTTTTTTTTTTTTTTCTGGAATCACTTATCTGTAGAAGAGGACCCACCTGCAGGATAAACAGCCGGGTGCTTCCTCCAAACTTCAACACGTGTCCCACCTTCAGTCTGATGTAGGTCTTCGGGGGGATCCTGTTCTTGTTGACCACCGTGCCGTGTGTGCTCCCCAGGTCGTGGACATAGAAGCCCCTCTCCTCACCCACGCAGCCCTCCTCCCCGGTGTGGCCTCGGTACTGGATCACCGCATGGTACCTGGAGATGGACGGGTGCTCCAGGGAGACGTCACACACAGGTAGCCTCCCGACCACAAAGTAGCTCCGGTGTGTGAGGGTAACAGTGTCCACTATGGTGCCGTTTTTGAGGATTTCCAATGCGTAGGGGGATTCTGGTGGAGGACCCCCCCAGGGGGGCTCTGTGTACGGCAGAGGGGGGAAGTTCCCAGCTTTGACAGAAGCTGCCTTCGCTTTAACTTCTTGTTTCTTAGTCTTGTCGACACCTCTGTCATCTTTTCGCTCATTTTCTCCAGCAGCAGCATCGGTGGCAGCTTCACACACATTGTCCACCTTGTTTTCTGCTACGTTGTTTATGCGTTTGCTAGCAAGCGAAGGCGCCGCAAAAATAGCCGGTTTTTTAAAGGTATCCCCTATCTTTGTATCGGATTTGGTTTCTTCTTTCCCCGTGGGCTTGTTCCCCTCTTCAGTGTCTAAATTCTCCTTCTTTTCTACTTCTGACTGTGTTTCTTCCTCCATATTTACCTCACGTCTGTTAGCACGGAGGAAGCGTCAAGGTTTATTTGGTGCAACTGAGAAACTAGTCCGGGTATTAAGTGCCTAAAATGCAAACAAAAACACTATCAAAGCAAAAATACAAGACAAAACATGTTATTAACTTACATTAGATTTGTTATGTTAAAGCGCTAAAAATATAATTTTAATTCTATCAAAGACTGAGTTTAAAAGGTAACGGAACAAATCTGCAAGTCCGCTTTAAAGCCCGGACAAACGGAAATGAAACAACACTGAAGTTACCATTTGATCTGTATCATATTAAAGGACCATCCCACCAGTTGTAAGGAGTCGTCAACTCTATTTCACAATTTAAAGTACTTAATATGGACAAAGTTTGATTTTGCCGAAAATAAATCCAGATTATTTTAAACATGGTTGTTTGATCCCTGAGACCTTGGTATAAAAACTCTAAAATGACTATTTATTAATTTAGATTACGCTATATTGTCATTGTACAAGCAGCAGTACAATGAGTACAGCTCTTCTTAGGGCATTTATAAACAGTTAAAACACATAAGACTAGTGTGACCTGGACAAAAAATATTTATGCATTTATTCAGTAGAAATAACAGACCATTAAATAAAAAAATAATGTGAATCATATAGATAAATAATAAAAGAAACATTTATCATAATCCAAGCTAAATAAATAATATTAATCTGTAAATGCACTTCTCACAAGTCATTGGATCGTCTTTTTTTAATGCCTAACTTTAGAGATTTTCTTTTTTTTAATGAAATTACTTTTAAAATTTGTTAAAAATAATGTTCTTGTTTAATTTTTTTCTTGAGTTTTTCCATTTTCACAAAAAGAAGAGGTCTAAGCAAACAATAATTTGTATTTTAAATAATTTGACTTCAATGTAGACTGATGAACATTCAGTGTATTGGAGTTCTAATTTGGTACATGGTCAAAACAGCATTGAAAATGTTCTTTATTAATACATTGTAGGCTTAAAAAATAAGATGCGTTGTAACGTTTTAGACCTTGTCAAATAATCCACTTTTGACCACTGTAGTGTACACAATTTTTAAATTGAAAATTTGAAAAAATTGGTTTCCTAAAAGCTGCGGAATGGCCCTTTAACAAAGAAATCGCTGGGTTGTACGAATCAGATACGAACTTCAGCGTCGTTCAAAGACGCTAGCCTAGCTGCTATCCAGCTTCCGATCGAAACTGAAGACTTTTTGGTTACCATCCGAGGGTAACTTTTAAGCTTTATTTTATGTAATTATTATCTATATAACGAAATACTAACAAAAAGTGCCTCAATGTTAGCTTAGCTCCTTTGTTGTCGTATTACACGGATTTGTTCTGTATTTTTTTGCACAAAACTCCAAACAAAAATGTGCTAATTTTTCTTTTATTCAACATTTCCAGATGTAAAAGGTTTCATTAATTATGTCTATTAGTTCGTATGAATTAACGAGAGGAACTCCATATTTCGGCTTTGCTGAATCCAAAAGTAATAAATAATTTTGTTTTAATTTTGATATATTGTGTTACTGCCATCCGTCTCGACTTTCATGTTAAGGATCCAGTCACTGACACTTTATGAAAATTTGGACTAAACTATCTGAAAGTTTTCTAGTTAACAGAAACATGCGCATTTTGAAATAGAAATGCAGAATGTGTAGTTCATTTAAATATTTAGCTAATTTACTTACAGAAAGCAGTTTGTCTGGAAAGTTAGTTACAGTATCTTGCAAAAATATCCAGTGCAATCCGGATACTTTTTACATTTAAATGTGAAGTACAAACTTCAATGTAAAATTTAGTGAATTTGAATGCGATTTTTTTTAGACAGATCAACACAAAGTAGGAAATAATGACTGAGTGGAAGGATGCATGGATTTAGTGTCTTTTACAAACAGAAAAAGTAAAAGTTTTAATTTCTTGCATTTACGTGGCTTTTGGCAAACTGTTGTAAGCCCAGTTTAAACTTCTGTTGCTTCATCTTCATGATGATGTTTGTTCACTGAAGTTCTCCAACAAATTTCCAAGGCCTTCACAGAATACTTGCAGTTACACTTGAACTCTTTAATAATTAGCGGACCTTGGATGGTAATTAACTGCAATACATTTTAATTTGAGGTACCAAAGTAGAGAGTGCTGAATACAAATAGAAAGTAGACTTACAATACTTTTTCACATAAAATCCAAATACATTGTATTGAAGTTTGTGATTGCAATGTGACAAAATGTTAAGAGGCCTAGAAGTGTTAATATTTTGACCAGGCAATGCATGTCAGTTATTTTGGTCAGATTTTTTTTTTTCTTAATCAACCTGAAAATACTTTATCTGATAAGGAATATATTTCTTCTCCTTTCTTTCATGTACAGTCTCGACTCAGGTCTGAATCAATCATGATGCGTTACTGGGGTGAGATCCCTGGACCCTCCGGGGCTCCCCCCAGTCGCAGCTCCTTCGACCTGCTCCAGCGAGAGTTTCGGTCTGTGGAGATGCAGGACCCGCCCCTGCACCAGCCGTCGGCCCAGCGTCCCCGGCCCACCACGATGCTGGATATCCCCTCAGAGCCGTGCAGCCTCACCATTCACACGGTGCAGCTGTGCCAGCACGCCCGCCGCCTGCGAGCTCTCCTGGCGGCGGCCCAGGGCCAGGCTCAGGGTCAGAACTCGGCATCCTCAGAGGGCGGCAGCCGACCAGAGGAGACTGAAGCCAACCTGCCGCTGCGTCCTCCCACTCCACCCGCCGTGCCTGACGATCTGCTGCCCGTAGACAGCAAAGACCCCCACCAGCCCTTTCAGCTTCGCCATAGTGACCCTGAGAGTGAATTCTACAAGTAAGTTTGAGATGTCGCCTCTTTAACATTCAACATTGTGCCAATGACAGATAAGGATACCTTGCAAAAAGTATTCATACTCAAACCTTTTCAGATTTCAAACCACAAACTTTACTGTGCTTTCTTGGGCTTCTATGGAATTGACCAACACAAAGTAGTGAATAACTTGCATGTCAAAGAAAAATGTTGCATAGTCTTCAATATTTTTAACATATAAATCTGAAAAGTGTGGCATGCATTTGTATTAAGCTTCTACTGCTGTGGCACCCCTGTCAGTCAGGCTGAATATTCCATTGGTAGGCGAAGTGGGAGCTCATGACTCTTGATATATAATCGGCAACAATAATTACCAACCATTTATTTTCTTTTATTTATTCTGTATACTTTCACAAGACCCTTTGAGACAAGACTTGTGGTTCTGTGCTGAAGAATCCCTTTGTGTTTCTCTCTCCCTTGCAGAGGGAAAGGTGAACCAGTCACAGAGCTGAGTTGGCCCTCCTGCAGGCAGCTTCTCTATCAGTCGGTAGCCACGGTGCTGGCTCATGCTGGCTTTGAGTCCGCCCAGGAAAGCGTCCTGGAGACCCTGACCGACCTTGTCCATGAACACTACCTGCGCCTCACCCAGCTCCTGCGAGTAGCGGTGGACCGCGAGGCCAGGCTGGGAGCCACGCCCTTCCCGGACGTGGTGGAGCAGGTGTTCCACGAGGTGGGCATTGGCAGCATGCTGGCCCTCCAGCGCTTTTGGCAAGTCAGGATCAAGGACTATCACAGCTACATGCTGCAGGTGAGATGATTTCAAGCTTATTTAGCTCTTTATTTTTATTTATTTATTTATTTATTTATTTATTTATTTATTTATTTAAACAGCAGAAAACAGAAACAACAGTTTTTTGTCTTCTAGGTTACCAAAGAGCTGTCAGAAGAATATGAGCGGCTGGTGAATCCAGAGAAAGCTATGGAAGACTCCAAACCACTAAAGATCAAGGACGAGCCTCTGAGTGACATTCCCTTCCCCGTGAGTGAGGAGCTGGAGGCCGACCTGGCCTCTGGGGACCAGGCTTTACCCATGGGGGTCCTCGGGGCCCACGCAGAGAGGCTGGCAGCAGGCTTGGATTCTGACCACTCCCCTCACACTTCAGGTGAGACCACCGCTTGTTGCATCTTAAAGTGGGGTGTTTCTAGCATTTGTAGTCACAATGTGTTATTTAAAGACTTCCCTTAATCTGACATATATGCTAAAGATTCAACTGAAAAACAAACATGAACACAATAACTGCAATAATCTGGCTGCATATGTTAGCAGCAACAGTTTGATTTGCTCATTTACATCCTTTGATTAAAATCATATTACATAAACGTTTGATACATTTTTTTGTTCAGAACAATAACTACAGTTTTAAGTTTATTTCTTCACAAGGTGGTGGCGCGGCCAACAACTCCCCTCTTTGGCCCCAAGTAAAGATGGAACCCCAGGACGGTGACGAAGGTCAGGGTGCTGGTCATCATCATCACCACGGCGTCCTGAGTGGCGACGTGTTCGAAGAGGGGGATCCCATGTCCACCATGAGCGAGTCTGGAGGAGCCATGGCGCCTTCACCAGGAGGGGCGGCGTCTGAAGGCAGCTACGCTTCGCATTCGCCCGACTCGCTGATGGGAACGTCGCCAGTCTTTAACCAGAGACCCAAGAAACGGATGAAGAAGATGTGAATATTTAAAACTCACAAAATCTGTCTTTATCGTTCTTCAGTGAAGACAGGATAGTGAGGGGAATTTTGTACTTTTTTTTTTTTTTAGAAGTGTTTTATGTGTTTCCCAGAAATAATTGTGAAATGTAATTATTGTACTTTGTTAATAAAAAAAACAAACATTTTCTTTACTATCTTGTTAGATTTTTCTCATCAGGATTTTTTTCATTAAACTATACAAGAATTCTCACAGTTGGTACCATGGGAAACCAGATAATTTATGCACGGTTAAAAAATAATAATTACGGGGTATTTACAGAGCATCTAATTCCAGAATATTTACCAGGGTTCTGTGGCTGCACAACAAACCCGAGTCATTAAACCTCCACCACCATGCTTGACAGTTGTTCAGCCATTCAGGATGCAGGAAAGTAAATATCTCTAAATGCAAAATATAAGAAATGTTTAGTTATCCCCTACATTTGAAAACTGGCAGTTTGTGACCTAAAACTATTTGATGAAATTTTCAAAG